AGGAGATCACTCACTCACTCACTCATGGAGCTGAGCCCTTCTTGAGAAGCTGCCACTTGTGCAGCTACTCAAGAACTTCCCAGCATTTTATGGAACCCGAAGGTTCATTACCGTGTTCACAAGAGCCCTCCACTGGTCCCTATTCTAAGCCAGATCAACTTAATGCATACCTTCCCATCTTATCTCTCTAAGATGCATTTCAATATTATCCACCCACCTACGTCTTGGTCTTCCCAGTGGTCTCTTTCCTTCTGACTTTCACACCAATTCGCTTAGTGGGGGATGGACTCCAGTTGTGTCCACTCGGCACGGCAGCCATTGATTGCCTATTGTAGCCTGCCCCGGGTGATTATGATGATGGAGAATTTGGTGGAATGAAGATTGGCAGGGGAGTCCGAAGTACTCAGAAAAAACCCGCCCCAGCGCCACTTTGTCCACCACAAATCCCACTTGACCAGACCCGGGATCGAACCCATGCCACCGCGGTGGGAAGCCAGCGACTAACCGCTTGAGCTATGGTGCGGCCCTTTCACACCAATAGTCCTATACGCTTTCACTTCTCCTCATGACATGCTACATGACCTACCCATCTCATCCTCCTTGACTTGATCATTCTAATAATACTTGTTGAAGGGTACAAGTTATGAAGCTCCTCATTATGCAGTTTTCTCCAGCCTCCTGTCACTTCATCTCTCTTCGGTCGAAATATTCTCCTCAATACCCTGTTCCCAAACACCCTTAGTCTATTTAGTAGGTCATGGGTTCAGAATCTTCGAACGAAGACCTGCTAAGTCCCTCAAGGCAAATAGCGGAATACAGCCTAAAAATGGGGCATGACTGTTTTTTCCAAATCCTTACTTATCCATTGTTCACTATCACCCTACAATTTGATGCTATATTCATGTAGACTGAGTTACATCGTTGTTAAATATACCAAAGAACACGAAACACGTCAGATGAGTCTCGGCGAAACCGCGGATGAAATGTCTAACAGACGAATCTCATATATTTTAAAGTAATGACTAATGAATCTCTGCCGTGAAGCCTACAACCAGCCATTTCAGGGAGCAAACGTTTCTCGACTAATGTTGTCCTGCTTATTAGTAATGTTACTATTGCATATTCTATTCCCTGCATCTGCAAGAAGCTTTCTCCCCTCCATAGCGTCCACAAGGCCTCTGAGGCCCACCCACCCTGCCGCCCATAATGCCTAATGAGATGTCTCTGCACGGGAATGAAGCGGACGGGGTTTGAAGGCCACCTAACGAAAACAAAAAACAAACTCCGTGATTTTACGTAAGCGAACTATACCGACCGAGCAACCGCAAAGTTAGTGCCAACTTTAGGGACGTGGTCAGTGCAACGAATCCCCATGGCCGTTAATCTCGGTTTTCTAGACCGGAGCCACTATTTTCTTGAAATAGCTCCTCAGTTATCCTCATGAGGCTGAGGGGACCCCGTTCCAGACCCACTACTTTTCAGAAAATATGGTAGCGCCGGGAATCGAACCCGGGACCTCTGGATCTGTAGCCAGGAACTCTGACTCACCACTCAACTCAATCCACTGTTAAAGTTAAAATGCATATTCTTGCAGTCCCTCATGATGCTCAGTTATGCATAGGAAGACTTCCTCTGTATGTTTTCACTTCGCTGTGAATTGTTCTAAACACACGTCAGACCTGGGCCTGTGGGATTTCTGATATTAAAACTTTAACCATCCTGTATCATGTTTTGCTTAATTTAATGACTCCGCCCTTATGTGAGTATAATTATGACTGCAGTGAACGGCTAAACATTAATGCAGCTGTGAAACTTGAGCATCACAGCAAAAAAGCAACTATCTGCTTTCAAGTGTTTTAATTGTTGTTAGTTGTAAGTAATTATTGTTTCTGAACTTAATTATATCCTGTCACTACCAAGCGAAATGCAGTAGCCACCATTACCACGAAGAAAGGCTGAAATGTGATCAGGTTAATTTCACTCAGTGCAGTTGGCTACATTGCTATAACTTGTGTAAGATCTGGGATTATTATATCAGTGACTGTTATCCGACATGTGACGGCGTGTAGTCTGGTAGATACTTACTGACATTTCGGACAGATTTGCTGCATTAACCTTCAGTTTATAAGGGTGTTGCGAAGGGAGAGAAACCGTCAGTAATATACGGAAGGGCACACAAGGGCTGGAGCCATGAGTGAACCAATAGGGATAACCGGAATCCAAAGCCGGCAGCCCCGTGATTGCTGTACAGGATTGTGCAGCTACAGTAACTCAAAAATACATTGGGATGCAATGACAATATGAATTATCTGCTGGGTGTATTCTGAGAAAGAAACAAAGCCCATACCGAAATAATACACATATTTAAAATACTTTGAATTTTTGTTTTGTAAAATTAACTAAGTATATGTTACTGTCTCGTCACCAAAATGCAGGGCAAAATCATGACATAAAGACTGGAAACAGATGTTTTGAAAACGTGGCACAGTTCAGATATTTGGGAACAACGATAGCAGATCGAAACCTGATTCAGGAGGAAATTAAGAGGCGATTGAACTCGGGTAATGCTTGCTACCATTCAATCCAGAACCTTTTGT